TATTAGATTTTGATTTCCAATACATCTATTTTGTTTTTTTAAAGGTTTTTATAATAGTATCCTATCCTTGTTTCATAGGTACAACCTCTCTGAAGATATTAACAATTGTGTTTTTTAAAACTTTTTTCTCTCTGCATATACTTTATTTTCCAAAAGACTTCGTCTCCTTCTTTGTTTGGAATTCCATCTCCATATTAGGAATTTTACTTAGATTTCTGCTATTCCTTGGTGGCCTGAGTATGAGAAAGTATCGTGTGGTTCCAAAAACAAAAACCAAAAAATGTCACCAGGCACGGTGACTCACGCCTGTAATCCAAGCACTTTGGGAGGCTGAGGCGGGCAGATCACCTGAGGTCAGGAGTTCGAGACCAGCCTCAACATGGAGAAACCCCGTCTCTACTAAAAATACAAAATTAGCCGGGCGTGGTGGCGCATGCCTGTAATCCTAGCTACTCAAGAGACTGAGGCAGAAGAATTGCTTGAACCTGGGAGGCGGAGGTTGCAGTGAGCAGAGATTGCGCCATTGCACCCCAGCCTGGCCAACAAGAGTGAAACTCTGTCTCAAAAAAAAAAAAAGAAAAAAGAAAAAAGTCTGTGTAGAGAAAGAGCAAGAGAAGGTATACAAAATGTTAACAGTTGAATTTATGTAAAGACTATATGAGTATCCTTTGCACTGATCTTTCAACTTTTCTGTAGTTGCTTTTTTTTTTTCAGACAGAGTCTCACTCTGTCTCCCAGACTGGAGTACAGTGGCACCATCTCGGCTCACTGCAACCTCTGCCTCCCGGGTTTAAGTGATTATTCTGCCTCAGCTCCCGAGTAGCTGGGATTACAGGCGCTCACCATGCTCAGCTACTTTTTGTATTTTTAGTAGAGACAGGGTTTCACCATGTTGGCCACGCTGTTCTCGAACTCCTGGCCCCAAGTGATCCACCTGCCTTGGCCTCCCAAACTGCTGGGATTACAGGTGTGAGCCACCATGCCCACCCCAAGATTTTAATTTTTCAAAGTAAACTTCTGAGACATAAAAAGAAAGGAGAGCAAACGCAGAGTGGGAGATTGAAAAAGGGATTGGAAGCTGAACGTGAGCCCCTGCTTTTTAGGGTGACCTTCACTGTAGCCCTTTGTTAAGAAGCCTCAGGGTCAGTGTCTTTATTCTTTCCTCTTGGGCGGGCAGCTTTCTCAAAGAGTGCACTTCCTCTCCCTTGCCTCAAGGATAAATCTGGCGGCCAGAGTTCTGATTGAACCAGTCGGCTTGAGGACTTTGAAATCAGCACTCCTTATGCATATGGCCTCTTAATCCGCTATTGTCAGTACCACACCTGTACTCTCCACTGCACGGGTTCACTCTCGGGCTCAAACCCCCATGTTTCTCCTTCTCCAAAGAATAAACCTCAGTTTTCTACCAACATACAGGAGTGTAGCATTAAGGAGAGGGACTAGAAATTTGCCCTCTTAAACATCTTCCACCCTGTGGTAGGTAATTAGTTATAAATGAGGTCATGAGGGTCGAGCACTCCTGATGGGACTCATGCCCTTACCAGAAGAATAGGCCAGCTGAGAAGCATCTCTAGGGGTCTATAAAGTGGTACCATTACACTCTTTATTTTCAGAAGAGGGAACTCGGGTGGAGAGAGGAGATTACCAAGATTACTATGGAGTTTGCAAATGGAAGGGAGAATTCAAATGTCACCAAAGCTAATATCCTTAACACTATGCTGATCTATTTCCCCATTCACATTCTTTTAATCAGCTTAATTTCATGTTGCCTATTTTTTCTGTCTTTTAAAGAAAATTACTTGACTATTCTAAAGAAGCCACAATAATAAAACACCCCCCCAAAAAAAGTGAAAACTGATGACAAGGATGAAGCATTGTTACCTGTTACCTGTTGCCTATTGGTCAAACCAATATGTTGCTAAAGGAAAAGAAGTAGTGATTGCATTGTACATTGAGCCTAAAGCTATGTCTCAGACTATATCCTGCTATTCATGCTGTTGCTCCCATATACAGCATAGTTCACGGATTCACCAAGGCTAGCCTCAGGCCTCTGGTGAGACTTCCTCCAAGAACCTACACCCTAGAAAAAAATTTGGGGTAATATATAACCACCAAGATATATCCACTAAGACTAAAGAGACATTTAAAATATTAATAGGAGCAAAACTTTAAACCAAAGGAAAGACATCCTAAGGCAACATTTCAAGAATCAGCCTTGGGAAGATTGAAGAGGGCCAGAAAGTCTTCACTGAGGACATTTCAGATTTTCCAGAGAAATGAGAAGCACACAGAGCTAGAAATAAAGAGAAAACCACAGAGATCTCTTCTCTTAGAGAATTGAAAGAGCAAGGAGACAGAGAAGGCATGAAATAGAAAATCTTGTATGGGTCTGGGTTTTGGAAAATTCTGTTTGTTATGCTGTAGCGAAGTGCTCTGCAAAAATTATTATTTGTTTTGTTTTGTTTTTAGCTGTTATTCATGTATGTAAGTTGTGGTTCATAGTGTCTCTTCTGATTTATACCCTTTGACGTGTTAATTAATTGATGAAACTTTTGTTCTCAAACTTTTTACTATTTCAATCTAAAACCTTCAGATTTGTCTGAAAATTCACCATGGGCCACTAGACCAAGAATTTCTCTACTGTGCAGTAGCCTCAGTGCAGAAGCTTAGAGGAAACCAAGCTGAGCACTGAAATCAGTTGGCAGTGCCCTGCTCCCTCTGTGACTGTATTCACTTAAAAGTTGTCCAGATTATGTTCTCAGGATCAACGACCATTTTATTTGTGTCCCTAGCAACTGCCTTAGCACATATTATCAATCCAAAACATGTTCTCTGAATGAATGAACAAAAGCAAGAATGAATGAGCAAACCACCATATTCCAGCAGAGCACCACGATGGTTTAGAGCTTGTGTTCGTCTCCAGGCTTTGCCCTCATGAGTTGGGTGACATTAACTAAGTTATTTAAGATATGCCTTCTCATTAATTTATGCCACAGATATTACTGCTGGGCTCTGAGTACGCATGGGGTGAGCAAAACAAGTCCATTGGCCTTGTGGAGTCTAGAGTCCAGCTACACAAACACACACTAACAAAACATGAAGTGCTCTGATGGTAGCGCATTGAGGCGCGAGAGTGCAGGTATTATGCAACTTATTCAGGTCGAATGATCAAGAAGTACATAGGTGAGGAGGTGACCTTTAGGCTGACAAAAAGAGAGACAGTCAGCCTTGAGAAGATATGAAACAAAAGTATTCTGAAAAGAAAGAAAAGCTTTTATGAAGTCCTTGGGTTTTCAATGAAACAATTGAAAAAAACAAAAAGAAAACAAAATCATTGGGCAAGAGAGAGCTTGCACAGGCCCAAATTATTTTGAATGAGCAGAGTTTGGTGAAATCAGAGGAAAGAGACTTAAGTCCAGGTAGAGTGGATCAGAGACTTCGTAATCCCAAGACTTTGGGAGGATCACTGGAGTCCAGGATTTGGAAACCAGCCTGGGCAATACAGTAAGACCTTATCTCTACACACAAAAAATAATAATAAATAATAATTAAAAATTAGCCAGGCATGATGACATGTGCCTGTAGTCCTAGGTACTCTGGAGGCTGAGATGGGAGGATTGCTTGAGCCTGGGAGGCACAGTTTGCAGTGAGCCAAGATTGCGCCACCACACTCCAGCCTGGGTGACAGAACAAGACCCTGTCTTGAAAGAAAAGAAAAGAAAAGAAAAGAAAAGAAAAGAAAAGAAAAGAAAAGAAAAGAAAGAAAGAAAGAAAGGTGGTAAGAGACACAAGAGGTGAACAAGGATCAGACCTTGGACAACCTTGTATGCCAAGGTAAGTATTTTGACTTTATCTTGGCAATGGAAAGTTTTAAGTAAATGAGGGAATTGGCCAACCCAGAGATTCTTATTTAGCTGACCAGGAGCAGGGGCAGACGGGTATTTTATTAGAAGCTTCTCAGCGATTCTAGCACACAGCCAAGGTTGAGATCAATAGTCTCTATATTCCTGCAGGAGCAAACCTGCTTTACTCACATCCTTCACCTGCTCTGATCCTCCCAGTGGTGGCTCCTTCAAACAGAATATGGTGTAAATATATTGGCTTAGTAATCAAGTTCCTCCATGTCTGCCTTAGCCTAACTTTCCTGTCTTATGTCCACTCAACTTCCTAGACAAACTTTATAATGTAGATTAAGGGTGTGGGTTTTGACGTCACACAGAGCCAGACATGTTACTTTATCCACATTGTAGCATGGTAGTTATAGTTACCACTTATCATGTTTAGGAGATTTAATTTTATAATATCTGGAAAGCTCTTCACCTATTATTTAGTAAGCACTTCCTAAAAGTCTGCTCTTGTATTATTCCCTGATCCCCAAATAGAATTTTCCTAATTCTGCCCTTTGTCTGATGTTAAACCATATGAACACTTATCTATTCCCATCTACCTAAACAGAACCCACCCCTCCTTCAAGTTCCTGCTCAATACTACCCCAGGTAGTACTCATCTTTGGCTCCTTTGATCCCTTATAGTCATTATTGTGTATTTTGGAAAATACATACGTATTAATTTGAGAGAGCTCTTCTCTCAACTCTGCTTTTTAGAGTATTTCTTGGTTTTTGTTTTTGTTTTTGTTTTTGTTTTGCCTCGCACTAATAACTTTTATTTTACTCAAATTAGAGCAATAATCTTCCATACATATCTTCCCTGCCCAATTCAAAGAAAAAAGAATCCAAAATGATTAGTAAAGAAAAATATAAGACTTAACAGACCCTTTAAATTTGTTTTAAATATTTTGAATATTTAAAAAGTGTTTAAAGTTTGTAATTCCTAGTAGGAAAACATTATCTGAATGAATACCCTAATGGCAAACCACTGTAAAATGCTTCAGCTGCATTTGGGGGAGAGGGGTAGGGATTATCTTCAAAGCACCCCAGCTCTCTTGATGAGAAGGTCAGAGGCACACTGGTTTGTATTATTGCAACATCCATAAGGTGATCTAGGTTGCTTTTCCTTCAGCAAGGGCTTTATTTATCAGAAGGGCATTACGCTTGACCTCCAAATTTGGCTGACAATTTACTGATGAGATTCATAACCTTTGGGTTGCTCTGGTATTTTGACATATTTGCTAGGTTCTGAGCCACATCCTGGAAGGCCACCATAACTTCTGGATCCTGCATGGCTGCAAGAACCTCTGGATCACTAAGAATTTCACTGAATCCAGGCATTCCAGCCATTCCAGGCATGGCCCCTCCCATTCCAGGCATTCCTCTGGGAAAAATACCAGGCATTCCCCCAGGAAAGCCACCTGGAGAAGAGCCATACTGAGCTCCTGACTGTCGTCTGGCTTCTTCCTCCCTCTGGGCTCTCTCATGCTCTTCTCCAGCCTTCTTAACTGTTTCTATTATTTCTTTGATCTCTCGCTCTTCACGTTTTCGCTCATACTTTCTCCGATGTTCTGCAATTTTCTGTGCCCTAAGTTGAACTTCTTTCAGCATTGCACTGGCATCTTCATCATAATCCAATTTACAGGCAAGGGCAAGATCATGGGCTGCTTCTTCCCAGTGGCCTAGAAGTCTGTGTGCTTTCCCTCGCCACTTGTAAGGCTGAGCTGAATCAGGATTTATCTCAATGGCTCTGTCACAGTCTCAGATAGCGCATTTGGCTTCTGTAATTTGACGAAGCCACTGGCCCTCTTGGCATACAAAACAGCCAAGCAAGGATTCAGCTTGATGGCATCTGTGAATAAGTCAATGGCTTTCTGGAGCTCACCATCATTTAGGGCTTCAATAGCAGCCACTTTTTTATCATTTGCCTGATCCATCATCTCCTCCGTTATCTCTGCATTTTCATCTCCCATTTCTTGAGAAGAATCAGTGTCTGTTTCAATCACACCTTCTTTATCAATTTCTAGATCACTTTCCTCACTTGATGGTTCGTCTGCCTTTAAGTCTTCCTCCACCTTCTTACTATCAGGTTTTTCTTCCTTGGTATTTTCTTCTGATTTAGCTTTCTGAGTAGCAGGTGGTACTTTACCCACCATGCTCTCCACCCACTCTCTCAGGAAGCGCATTTCCTCGGTGTGCAGAACGCTCAGATCCTGCTTACACATTTTCACAAAGGTCCGAAGCTCACTTTGCGGGAGTCCATGGTAGAGAGGTGGTGGGCGCAGCTGGGGGACTACGGCCCTGTTCCAGGCCCAGGCGCTGGCTCCGCGTGACTGCGCAGAAGGGGGCCTAGAGTGTTTCTTTCTTGTCTGCCCAGGTGGAATGCATGCTTCCTTGGAGCATGTTCATTCATAACGCAGTGATTAAAAGCACAGATTCTTGTGCAGAATTCTGGCACCACTACTAACCTTGGACAAGATGCTTAACCTCTTTGTGCCTGTTTCTTAGTATGTTAAATGGGAATAGTAAGAGTACCCACCATGGTACTCATGGGCATGTGTAACTATCAAATGAATTAATCCATCTAATTTAATTAATCCCTTCGAGCCTCCAGAAGAGTGTCAGGGACACAGTAAGTCCTCACTGTTAACTAATGTTAACTGTGCCAGATACTGCTCTGTATCTTCCACTATTTTTATTCCAGGACTTTTGGGTAATGAGGCCCTAATATATGTGTGCATTTAAAATTCACTCCTATGAAATTGTATAGGTAAATATACCAGAAATAAATTGTATGAATATTTGCACAAAAATGAGTCCTAAATGTTCAGCTAATAATGAGAAAAAGGCCGGGCATGGTGACTCATACCTGTAATCCCAGCACTTTGGGAGGCTGAGGCGGGTTGATCACTGAGGTCAGGAGTTCGAGACCAGCCTGGCCAACATGGCAAACCCTGTCTCTACAAAATATACAAAAATTAGCTAGGTGTGGTGGCACACACCTGTAATCTTAGCCACTCAGGAGCCTGAGGCGGGAGAATCGCTTGAAACCAGGAGGCAGTGAGCCGAGATCACGTCATTGCACTCCAACCTGGGCGACAGAGAAAGACTCCATCTCAAAATAATAATAATAATAAGAAGAAGAAGAAGAAGAAGAAGAAGAAGAAAAATATATGTTTCTGACTAATTTGTAGTGGCACTTTTATTCTCATCTCCATCAAAAGTTCACATCAATGAACACTGTGGGTACATTATCAGAATTAACGGAATTCTAATAACTTTGACATTTGTACCTTTAGAAGCACTCAGGTTAATGTAGTTCTGTAAAAGTCTATAATTTTATGCTGTAGTACTGCACAAATTCTTTATCCTGAGTATTAGATTGCCATTATTTAAAGCTGAAAGAGTGACATCCTTGTGAAATGTTTCAGTCGAGATAATAAGCAGCACAGTGCCTTGCTCATAGTAGAGGTTTTCAAAAAGCCTTGTCAGCTTACATTTTATTTCAGCAGAAATCAGAAGAAGTGGTCTTAGCTGGCTGAGGAAGTCTTTCTGCTTTAGTTTCGTCTGTATGGAAACCACCTATTATAAGCCTTTTTTAGAGAAGCAGATGTGCGAACTATCAACTCCAACATAGGATCTTATTTGTAATAGGGACTTGGTAAATGTTTGCTACGTTGAATTGAACAAAATTAATCAGTTATGCCTCTTCCGTCCTTCCCATGTGGCTGTCATCGGTTTTAAGGCATCTACCTAAGTCCACCTGTGTGCCACATGCTGCAACCAAGAGAGCAGCTGGCAGAAGGCTCAGGGGCCATTCACTTACTTCCGTGTTCATCCATCCCCTTTGACCTGCCCGATGGAATTCTAGGTATCATGGATACACAGCAAAAAAAGTTCCTTCCATCTGGAGTTTACTCATGGAAGAGACTGACAGAAAACACGGAACAGAGAAATATATAATATAATGTCACTGGTTAGTGATGGAAAGAAAGTTAAGACCCAGGGGTGAAAATGGACACAAGCTGCCCTTTTAGATGGGGGGGGGGTCGAGGTGACTGAGGAGGGCATTTAAGCAGGCAGCCACCCTTGGAATTAACTGGAGGAAGAGTGCAGGGAGCCCCAAACACAGTCTCTAGGGATGTTGGAACAGCTAGGAGGCCTGTGGGGCATAAGAGGAAAGAGTAAGAGTGAGATCAGAGTGGGAAGAGGGTCCAGATGTCGTAAGTATCGTAGCTGGGTCCAGATAGCATAGACAGACTTTGGATTTTGTTCTGCGTGAGTAAGGGATTTCTGAACCGTACAATGATATGGTCAGGTTTAACTATTAAGATGCTCACTCAAGGCTGGCGTGATGGCTCATGCCTGTAGTCCCAGCACTTTGGGACGCCGAGGTAGGCAGATCACGAGGTCAGGAGTTCAAGACCAGCCTGCCTGACCAACATGGTGAAACCCCATCTCTACTAAAAATACAAAAAATTACTCGGGCATGGCGCCTGTAATCCCAGCTACTCAGGCTGAGGCAGGAAAATCGCTTGAATCCAGGAGGCAGAGGTTGCAGTGAGCCAAGATAGTGCCAATGAACTCCAGCCTGGGCAACAGAGCAAGACTAGGTTTCCAAAAAAAAAAAATTAGCCAAGTGTGGTGATGCGCACTTGTAGTCCCAGCTACTCAGGAGGCTGAGGCAGGAGAATCGCTTGAATCCAGGAGGCAGAGGTTGCTGTGAGCGAAGATCGTGCCACTGCGCTCCAGCCTGGGCAACAGAGCGAGACTAGGTCTTAAAAATAAGAATAAAAGCCGGGCGCGGTGGCTCAAGCCTGTAATCCCAGCACTTTGGGAGGCCGAGGCGGGTGGATCACGAGGTCAGGAGATCGAGACCATCCTGGCTAACACAGTGAAACCCCGTCTCTACTAAAAATACAAAAAACTAGCCGGGCGAGGTGGCGGGCGCCTGTAGTCCCAGCTACTCCGGAGGCTGAGGCAGGAGAATGGCGTAAAACCCGGGAGGCGGAGCTTGCAGTGAGCCGAGATCGCGCCACTGCACTCCAGCCTGGGTGACACAGCGAGACTCTGTCTCAAAGCATCCATATCTGACTTTCTCAGAAGTTTTTCTTACGAAAGTCTTACTTCCAGGAGTGATAATAAGAGTAATTTTTATGAGATAGCCATTTCACTTTCAAAGCTTCCTGAAATAAACTATCACGCATGATTTTTATCACAAACCTATAAATATAGGAAGAGCATGTAGTATCATCCATTCAGAAAAAGAAATGGAGGCATGAATTAAATAAGAAAAAGGATACTTGTGATGATGTAGCCAGTCCCTAGGAGGCACTACCTCACCAGTATGAGGGTCAACGTGCAGCATAATTAATTGGCTTGATATCTCAAATGACACAAAACATTTCCATTCAGAAATCCAGAGGAGGACCCAGGACCATAAAGGGTTAGATATATTCCTTGCTTAGAGGTATTCTGCATAGGGACTCGGCCTGAAACTAGAGGAGAGATGATGATGAACCTTCAGCTCATTCCAAACCTCTGTGAAGTGAACCTGCCAAGTTTGATCTGTCAGCACTTGTGATAATGAAATAATTTATGAGGGTCTGTGATGATAGAATTGAACATGATTTAAAAATCTTTCCTTACTACACAGAACAAAAATGCACTTTCAACTGAGAGATTTCAAATCAACAATCAAAATAAATGTATCCGTCTGATCTTTGGAATGAGTTACATGTAGCATAGTTGACTAACTACTAGGGACCAATTAGTATTCATTTGTAACACTGGAAGGACTTTCAGTTATTTTATTGAACACCTAAACACAACTGTATCTTGGAGAAGAAAACAATTCTGTTGATGAGGATGTGGGATTCTACTAAACCTGAATCATGTTTTAGAAAAAAAGTTGTCTTTCAAAATAGTAAGTATAGTGTACATATTGGTACAATTGAACTTCACAATGAAAATGACTGTTGGTCATCACCAAGTCTGGGGGGCTAATTGAAAGAAAGAAATTGATTTGGATGACCTTACACAGTCTTTCCTGTTTTAATAATTCTATGATGTATGCAAGTGGAATTTTCCTGGAGTCTCAAGGGTATTCTTTTTGTTTTTCCAAACTTTTTTATTGTACAACAGCAACCACTTCTACACACAGTTGATCTTATTAGTGTGGCATTTTCTTGCAAATTTGCCCAGAAAAGGGGCTGTTGTGATGTCTTCAGAGTTCATAATTTCTTGGTATCCACACTAAGTTTTGTATATATTTTTACCTGGTCAATTCTAGAAAGACCCGTCAACAAGATCAATTCCAAAAGAGTTGAAGCTGTAAGATTCTTCATCTGGAGTTAGTTAAGTTTTCTATAATGAGGTAGTGGAAAAAATAAGAGCTAATTCCAGCCAGAGGACACTCATTCAAAATAATAGAATCATCCGCTGGAAAGTGTTTGGGAGATCATCTCTATTTTCTGTTTCCAGGCAAGACATCATCTAAGCCATTTCAACTCCTCAAACTACTTGCAAAGTTTTGGAAGGCTCCAATGAAAGAGAACCACATTCTCTGCTCCCTTTCCATTGACAGCCTCATTATTGGGAAGAGCCTTTCATTTCTGGAAATCAGATAGCTCTACAGAAGACAGAAACCTACACCAGACTGATTTTGCCAAGAGGTCAAAAAAAAAAAAAAAAGCTTGTCTACATATAAAATATGGCTTTAAGTCAAAGTTGATGAATTTAAAAAGATACTGAAATAGTATTGAAAAAGACTAACACTATTCCTACTTAGTATCTAAATGTTTCATTCAGATTTATATTATTTTTAAATAGGTTTTTATATTTTCAGTCAAATAATCCATGTTTATTATGGAAAATTACAAAAGGGAAAACAAAAGAAAAAAATCACTCATAATTCAACCTCCCAAGCATCTACTGTTAATAATCACTTTTGTATAAAACAATTTCCTCTCTATGAAAAAATCTCCATGAATGGTTTCTAAGGATGGGCTCATACTTTTTACAATTTTTTAACTTTTTGTACTCACTGGCCATTGCACCACCATCTTTCCATGTTTAAAAATAGATATCTACCAACACCTGTGAAAAGAAGGGAAGAAAATTTAAAAATGATAGATAGAAATGGATATCTATATGATAATTTTAATTAATTTTAAATTAAATATATTTGATGTTTCAGAAATCACTTTAGACTTCCAAGTCTGGTGAAACTAGGACAGCCTGCATACCCTTAACAACTTCTCCACTGAAACAACCAAAAAGCTATATAACATATTTAAACAGGTGCTTTCTAGATGCATGGTTAACCTAGTGAGAAAGTTTTTAAAAATCCATAAAGGTCAAAAATTAGTAAAAGTCTCCCGTGAATCCAGAAAGGTGCACACACACTCAGGCGTGCTTTTGTCCTGGGGCATCTGCAAAACCCTGGAGACTGAGTTTTGCTGTGACAGCCTCTCAAGCTCAAGGCTAGGGCCTCCTAAAAAGGAATTTTTCCAGGAGATCCCTACAGAAAGCTGGCAACGTAAACAGTCATACCTTCCATGAAAGTGAGATCCAGAAATAAACCTGCTCTCAGAGCAAACAGTAAATAATGTATTTATTTCTTTTTAATCTCGGACCTGGATAAATAAATGAGGAGAGATTTCCTTCTGAGATGTACAGCCCTAACACAGCCTTCATCCAGGTTTGTAGCCTGAATTCATATGATGTGCGTGAATTTCAACAGCTCATGGCTAAGAATTATTTTAAATGGGTTCCAGGTTGATATTGGTCCTAAACACCTAGCAAAAGCAAATTCACTACTTTATAGAGGAGCTCACTTTAAACATAGGCCTTGAACAATTCCAAGTATAGTGTTCCAAGATATACAAATAACATGATGTTTTAAAAAATCACAAAACCACATAAGGAAGTAAGACACTATAAGCAATAGGCAATGGAAATAAAGCAAGTGGACAACAGACTCATATCTACAAAGACTTTAGATAAGAAGATTCATAAGCATGCAATAAGTTATGTTTAAAATATTTAAAGAAAAGAGAAAATTGAAAATATAAGTAAGAATAAAAGATTATTAAAATAACAGCATATCTGGAAGAAAAAAGGAAGTTTCTAGAAAAGAAAAACCTAGTACTTAAAAAAATAAAAGTTTAATGGATCTAGAGAATAGACAATAAATCCTATGATTTTACAAGTCAGAAAGATAGCAAGATATAAAATGAATATACAACAATCAATAGAATATCCATCATATAAAAACAAACAATGGAAGAGTGAATCCCATTTACAATAACAATTACAATAGAAATAGCCTTAAGAAATTTTTAAAATCTACATGAGGGGAAAGTTAACACTTCCAAAAACTTAACTTGTGAACTTAAACAAATACGCAGAGAATGACTCAATGTCATAAAAATGTCAGTTCTCCATAAGTTAATTTTCAGATTTAATAAAGTCCCATAAAAATGCCAAAAAGATTTGATTATCTTAAAATGAGATAATTTAATACTAAAATTTATATGAAAAAAATAAACATGCATGAATGGTCAGGAAAACACTGAAAAAAAAAAAAAAAGAGCCCTCAAGGGACAGGTGGAGGCAGAAATCTCTGTCATACTCAAATATACCAGAAAGCCATTATAATTACAAGATTATTGTACTAGTGCATGGACAGATTACTTAGTGGAATAGATTAGAAGGCACAAGTATATATGGAAGTATAATGCATGATAAAGTCGACGTCTCTAATTACTGAGGCCAAGATAGACTTTTAGTAAATGATGTTAGGTTAGGACAATTGAAAAGCCATATAGATGATAATATTGTATCCTCATAGTCCACATAAGAAAGAAAACCCCAATGGATAAGAAAACTCATTATAAAACTGAAGCCATGCAAGTATTAGAAGAAAACACAGATAAATACCTTTGAAATCTGGTGATGAAAGGCTTTCAAAATATGTCTAAAAATCTAGATACAATAAAAGATTCATGAACTCAACTCTATAAAAATTTTAAAAAATTTTAAAGAACTTTCAAATGACACAAAACTCTGTAAACAAAAACATAGACAAATGATGAACTGGGAGAAAATATTTTCAACACATATTGCAAATAAAGAACTAAAATCATTAATCTGTAAAGAACTTATAAACATCAAGATTAAAGAAGGACCAAAACCTTATAGATAAATGGGCAAAATACATGATGTAGACAATATACCCATGAAAAGATACAAAATGTTCCTAACACTTATGAAAAGATCTTCTATCTCATTCATAATTAAATCCAAATGAAAACGAGAAAAACATTTCACATCTCTCAAAGTGGTCAAAATTAGTACATACAATGATATACTCTGTAGGGTAATGAGCACTCTTAATATATAGATGATGAGTGTGCAAAATGATGCAATCTCTGTGGATTGAAATTTGGCAATATCTAACAAAACTCCATACACATTTTATGCTTTGACCCAGCAACCCGACTTCTGGGAATTTGCCCTGAAGTTTACTTTCGACAATATGAAAATAAATATATACAATGTTATTTATTAAGACATTATTTGTAATTGCCAAAATACTGGAAACAACTCAAAAATTGGTATATAGAAAATTGACTGCATGAATGATATATCCTTGCAATACAATACTGTGCATCTTTTTTAAAACAATAAGGAAAACCTATATGAACTGATATAAAATGATTTCCACGATTTATTTATTTATTTTGAGACAGAGTCTCACTGTGTCACTCAGGCTGGAGTGCAGTGGCGTGATCTCAGCTCACTGAAACCTCCACCTCTCAGGTTCAAGCCATTCTCTTGCCTCAGCCTCTTGAGTAGCTGGGATTACAAGCACCAGCCACCATGCCCAGCTAATTTTTGCATTTTTAGTAGAGACGTGGTTTCACCATGTTGGCCAGGCTGGTCTCGAACTCCTGGCTTCAGGTGATCCGCCCACCTTGGCCTCCCAAAGTGCTAGGATTACAGGCATGAGCTACTGCATGTGGCCTGATTTATTTTTAAAGAAAATAAGCAAGATACAAAAGCCTGAATGGGAAAAGGTGTCGCTCTCTGAGATCGAAAATGCCAAAAGAGTCTAGAATAAGAGGGAAATTAAAAATGCTGTTTTGGGTCCAGAGCGGTGGCTCACGCCTGTAATCCCAGCGCTTTGGGAGACCAAGGTTGGTGAATCACCTGAGTTCAGGAGTTCAAGACCAGCCTGGCCAACATGGTGAAACCCTGTCTCTACTAGAAATACAAAATTAGTCAAACCTGGTGGCACATTCCTGTAATCTCAGCTACTTGGGAGACTGAGGCACGATAATCGCTTGAACTCAGGAGGTGGAGGTTGCAGTGAGCTGAGATCATGCCATTACATTCCAGCCTGAGAAACAAGAGCGAAACTTTGTCTCAACAGAAAAAACAAAAAAACTGTTTTGAACTAATTAAGCTTCAGATGCCTTTGAATTCTTAATTTTAGTATGATCTAATTTATTGATATTTTCCTTTATGGTTTACATTATTTGTATCTTGCACAAGAATTAAAATACACTTTAATTCTTTAAAGTGTATTTAAAGTAATGCCTATTAAAATAATGCATATTAAAATAATGCCTTCTAAAATTATTTTTTGTTTGTCTTTAATCTGAAACTAGTTTTAGTATGATGTGGCGATTAAATTTTACAATTATTTCTCCAAATTTATTTACTTAATACGTATACAGTATTTTATGTGTGTGGGCACCTTTCTGCATTATACAAATGGTAACATTAAATTTTCATAAATACATAGCGTGTTTATCCCTGTTTCACAGATGAGGGAATAGAATTTTGAGAGGTTAAGTAGCTTACCCAAGGTCACAAAGGAAGTAAGCAGTAGAGCCCAGGATTTTATCCCAGACACTTTGGCTCTGGAATCCATGCTCCTGGCCCCTAATGAATAGCCAATTGTTCCAGCCAATTGTTCTCCTATTTCTCACTGACTTGCAAGTGTGCCAATACCACGATTTTTACTGTGTAATATCTTGTTTCCCATAAAGTTCCACCACCTAATAACTTTAGCATCCAGTAATGATTCTTGCCTAAGTCAATTTTTACTATGTTTGGAATCCTTCTATATTCATTGCTTCGCATTCTACAGTAAGGAAGGCTATACTCTTAATATATATTTATCTATCTACCTCTAGATCCATGAATTTTTTATTTTTTTCAATGAACTATAATACATTACTATAATAATGTATTTTGATTCTCAAATTATTCCATATTTGGCCAGTGGAACCGCTTCAAACTGGCTCTGTGTCCGTTTTGACATGACCTCATCCAT